AAGGCCAAATCGTTTGCCGCTTTACTTAGTGAAACAACTTTGCCGACAACAGCGGGTGGCTTCACCGCGCAAAAACATCGTTAGCAAAACCAATTCTCGTTAGCAAAACCAATTCTGGCGAAAGCGAAGCTGTCAGCAGTCAGGATATCCAGCAGTGGATGACAAAGGAATGCCTGGCGAGACGTGAAGACGTACACAGTAGTCAGTTGCTTCCACAAGGCAGGTTTCGAGATGGCTGAACTTGAGGAAAACGGTGACGATAAGTGCATAGACAATGCATTATGCGAGCTGCCATCCCGCTTCTCGGCAGCAGTTCTACATGAAGTGTCTGCGACGACTTAGTGGAAGCGGACTGCAATGTCCATGTCGATGGCTCATGTGACGAGAACGATCGTCTGGAGGAGGCACTGGCTGCACGCCCGTACAGTGCAGTCCACTTATAACGATACCACATATAACGATATATCGGTTATAACGATGGGTCGACTTAACAGTCTCATTTTATGCATTGGGGCTATGGGGAAAAAAACCATATATAACGATATGTTATCCACCGCATATCGGATACAACGATGAAAAGTTTGCCGTGGACGGCATGTTTCATTCAGAATAATCGTAACATTTAGATTGATAAGTTCCTCTGAAACAAACTATGCCGAGACAAGACGAAAAGTTAGCGTAGGCGAGTACGTATCTGCCGCCACTGCAGCACAGCGCCGGCAGCGCGTCCCGGCCGTTCAAAAAGCCGAGGAGAGCGTCGCGAGTTGGCGCGACGCGCTACAGATGGCGCCAGCTGTGTCACGTTTTGCGCCTCGCCGCGCGTCGACCGCGGAGAGGCTGAGAGAATTAAAAAAAAAAATGCGAAAAGCAAAGCGCCGCGCTCCGCGGCTCCCCGCCTTCTACAACGGCAAGCCGGCAAGCTACTCGTAGCTGCTGAACGAAAGCGGGAAAGAGAGAGAAAATAAAAAAACCGAAAAGCGAAGCGGCGCGGCGGCATCGGGGCGGGGCCTCGTTGGCATTCCGGCTGTGTACCTCTGGCTGTGCTTTCTTCCTCCCACTGCTCCCACCCCGCCGTCGGTCAGTCTCTCTTCCTCAGCGAAACCGTGATGCGTTCTTCGGAGTAAGAAATAAAGTCTTGTTTTTGACATCCTACTATCTACAATATTTATTAATTGGTGAAAATAGCGAAATGAAGCCTGGAGCTACAAAAGGTACGTCCGGCGACGATTTTTTGGCGGCAGTCCAGATATAACGATCACCGGTTATAACGATCATATTTTTAGGTTTTCTCGATATCGTTATAAGTGGACTGCACTGTACTCCGTCGCTGAAATGCCGGCAGAGTCGTGCTCCATACCGGGCTGCAAAAATTAGGCGCCTTCTTCCTCTTCTAACCACTGCTACTACCACCACCATCATTCGTCGTTGTATTGGCCACATGGAGGGAGCCGGGCTGTCGCACCTGGACAGCCTTGATAAGGACAAGACTAGGGTCTTCAACATTTGAAAAATTAAGAAGCAGGCCAAGATTAGCAATTTATTTTTTTTCATGCAAATAAATCATTCTGTTGCAGCGTGTGTGCGAAATTAGTTGCCATTCTTGAATGTGCCTATTGTAGATGATGATCCGCTACGGGTAATCTCTCAGGGCCTCTATTTCTTTTAGATATAATTTTTTGTATATCGAACTAATTTTCGATCTCTTTCAAGTTCGATATATCAGTGTTCAACTGTATTATCTAGCCACAAAAAAATTGTTTCTACTTGTAGTAAAAACAGCCTCTTATCCCACAGTAGCTTAATAATTGTTAAAAAACTGCTCTTTGTAGTGGCAATCTCACGGTCCTAATCAATGCTCTAACTTGCGCTGCACCGTGAACACGGAAATTACACACATGCATTTACTCAATACTAATAACAGCAACATTGAGGGCATATGTAATAAACTCCTGTTAATCCAAATTCATTTATATTCTGAACATGAAATAGGCATTATTTTTGCTTTCCCATAGACTTAATGTGAAATTCAGCTTATATTGAATAGGAATTGCTTGTTTGTAATGTTGGTTGAACTTTTATGTAAAGGTTAACACAGGGCATCATTGATTTTGGAGTCGGCAGCCAGCCAGTTTTATGTCTGATTTTATACCCGTGTTCTATATTATCACAAGTAAGTGTGTAGTTATAGCAAGTGTGCTCTAAGCTACCATTTTTGGTCATGCAGAGCTGTGTTTTCAAGTACCGTATTTACTCGCATTAAACGCACCCCCAATTTCAAGGGCCAGTCAACAGGCTCAGATTTTTTTACACCTCCCAAGCAAGCTCAGCAATTTGTAGAGTAGACCACAATAATTATGTTTTCTCAATATTACAGTGCTGTGCGCCATGCAGAGCCTCTATTTAAAAAAATATTCCCGCGCATCTTTTCTACGCCTCACCAACCTCCTTTCATGCGCAGTGGCTTCAACTTTGCTATTGGCGATGTCACGCAGCAAGCAGCTCGTTCATTGGTCTAAACCAGGTCTCAACAAACACTAGTGAAGCTAATGACAGTTCCTGTTCCCACCCACAGCTACGTCAGGGTTTTTCAATCATTTGAGTTGCGAAACTCCCCATAGGTTCTGTGTATCGAAATCCGGCCACGTCACTGGCCCAATTTTTGGGAGTGAGCAGATTGTCACGCCACCTGTTGCTCAGCACACCCACTATTTATTATATGCATTGTGTTTTGTATTGTTGCTCCCCGGCGACGCGACAGTCTGCTAACTTCCGAAAAATCGAGCCACCTGCACGTCTGGGATTTGGAATCCAGTTTTGCTGCGAATCGAGTGAATGTGCTGAGGAGAAGTAGGAGAAGCTACACTCTAGAAGCATCGGCATCGGGTGAACAGTCAACAGCCAGGCATCTCGGCAGGCGGAAGTGCGTTGCGACTGATTGAGTTTGCCGATGACGTCATCGTGACTCCGCTGAAGAAGGCAGAGTCACGACGTTGGGCTAATGCCTGAGGGAGAATGGTGGCGATACCATGCGAAAATTTGAAACCGGCTGAATGTGATGTTCTAGTCCCTCTAACTTATTTCATGTAGCATATACATATTCGCAAAATTCTTGTGGTGACATGTTTGAAGTAAAAGTGCACATGTTTCTCTCAATAACAATTTTTGGATCTTGGGGTTGTTTACTGTCTCTTTCAGTCATCAAAATTTAGATTTTCTTTGGTCCCGCCCAATAAATGCACCCCCTAAATTTATCTGCTGCTGTTCCGCTAACTGACACCTGGCACCTTTTCGTTCGTTAGAGCTCTTGCAGTTTTTTTTTTACAATGCCAATTTTTCTTGGCCACTTTGTCTCACACCCTCCGCTCATTTAGCCGCTGCTGCGTGCCATTTTGTTTTTCTGTCTATCTGTGCGTGGCACGTTCCTTGTCTTTTTTTAATTATCCGTGCTCCACTGTGAGGTTAACTAACAGTGCGAGAGTGGAGACATCACAGTGGACAAGCACACAGCAAACGAAGGTCACGAAACTGCCCGTGCCAATCAATGGTCGCTTCCTGCAAATGCAAAACATTATGGCCCAACCACATGCATGTAATTTTCGAGCGACAACAATAGGATTTGCTCTCGCTGTGGCTGCTGCGAAGGGCCAGTCGTTGCCATTGCGTTGCAGGAACACCAGAAAAAGTTGCTTTTCGTTCGGAAAAGAGCGTGACAATTTCTGCAACATGGTAGCACCCCCTGTACAGTTTCAATTATCTATTCATACTTGTTATCTGTGCATGCTTCGCAGAACCAAAGATACCCTTTACAATCATTTCTAATGTGGACAGCTAGGTGGCAGCCGTATTTTATTGTTAATTTTGTTATTGACTGGTTGTTTTATTCTTCAGTGGTTGCTTGCTACACTATCGGTTACTTGCTGCAATGTCAACAGCGTCATCGCAGTCGTGTGAGGTTGCCACAAAGTTAGCAAAATGTGTCGTAGCGCACACTTCTGGGCACCTCTCGAAATCGCAGCAGATACCACTGATGCGGTTTAACGATTGCGAGAAAAGAAAGCGGCAACACGCTTCATGAAGTGCACGGGCGGCGCGGGGACAGGTTGCACAAAATCGCACTATCAACCACCTAAGATGGGTGAAGTATAACAAAGAAGCTCTTTCCAAACAGTGTTCGCGTCAATTGCAAAAGGTTAAGTGACCCTCCCCTCTCTTTTTTTGTATTATTGCATTTTTCGCTTGTCCTCAAAAAAGTTTCATAAAGTTTGCCCTGCATAATAACATTGCTTCGATTTTTCGGGAATAAAAAGTGCATTCATTACGTGAGCAAGTACGTTAAGCATATTTGGACACGCCTGACATAAGCTCATGTTGATGAGCCAAACTTCTTATTATAAACTTTTTTACAGCACCATCAAAATCGTATTAATGGGAGCTTGCTGTACAATTAATTGCTCCGCCACATTGCCCCCCCCCCTTCCCCCCCCGTGGTGGTCTAGTGGCTAAGGTACTCGGCTGCTGACCCGCAGGTCGCGGGTTCGAATCCCGGCTGCGGCGGCTGCATTTCCGATGGAGGCGGAAATGTAGTAGGCTTTCCGGAGCCCTCCACTATGGCGTCTCTCATAATCGTATGGTGGTTTTGGGACGTTAAACCCCACATATCAATCAACCAATATTTATAGACACATTGGAAAGTAGGAGAGAAGAAGCCATTAATTATTGCTGACTTTAGTAATAAGGAATGTGCTGTATGATAATCATTTTCGTGCTTTTGAAATTATGACGAACATGAGAAGAAGATGTAAGCTGTTAGTTGGAAAAGCTTTGGCGTGACATTGCAGGATTAAGTGAGGTTAGGTACGCAAACTTGCTGTGTAAGGTCATTTGATAGACACTGGTATAGTAAGTGTTTAAAAGTGTGTGCATTGCATAATATGTTCCGCTTGTTTATGTGTTAAATACTTATAGCTTTCACAACTACATTTTTGTAACTGTAATTGCAGGTGGAAATAGTGCCACAATTGCAGAAGCAAAGGGAGAAGACTGATGCCGCACGTGCTCACCTCACAAGTGTCCTTCAGGAACTGCAACAGGTAAACACAGATTGTGATTGATGGCTGAATGGTTGTCATAGTATGCCTGAGGGGGATTCATTGAAGCTTCAGCACTTTCTAAGGTGTCCACTATACACTAAAACTCCTTTATCATGTGTCTACTTCCAGTTTTTTAAGTTGTGCTTTTGGATCATGGAGAGTTCCTGCAGTGATAACATTAAGGAAGCAGCAACATTCTTTTGCAATTGAGGTCATTTTCAAAAATCCACTAGTAGCATTTTTGGCTGCACTTCCTTCCTGAACAATCATGATCACGAGCTATGTACTTCATGTGTTACTGCCTCTATGCTTGTTATACCCATCACACTCACTCATGCTTGTTTTACCCATCACACGACACATGTAATGGCATTCGCAGCGAATGACATTCATAACGAATGGCATTGTGATAAAGTTAAACTTGTATGTAATTTAATTGATAAAGTCCTGGAAAAATTTGTTATATAGAGAATTTTGTTTTATGCAGGTCCCAATTGATAACAACAAGTCCAAATTTATAACATTGATAAAAGCGTGCGAGTGCTGCTGAAGCAGAGATCAAATGAGTCCGCCCATCATTATCGCCTGGAAAGTGCATAACACCTCCCGTGTGTTGGCATTGCCGTCGAATGCTCAAACAGAAAGTAAACCACCCATCTTGAACGAGCATGAAAATACGCAAGGAGGCAGGGCGGGAAAATCGCTCGAGTAACAATTATGAACTTGGATTTTAAGGGGGGTCGCGATCGCTGGGGCGCTTGCTATCTTGGTGAGTATCAGTGCTGTTTCAACGCGAAGGGACTGTATGAAAAGAGTACTTCTCCCTGGATCGGCTGTATTTGTTCACACCAGCATTTTGTAATCTGTTCTAAAACTTCCTTAAAATCTGGTTTAGTATTATGTATATTATAAACCAATTAAAATATGTACTGGTGCTCCCAAAACGACATATTAAATGTCATTAATATCTCCGAAGCAAGATTCTTCTGCTCCGAAATTCAAATTTTGCTGCTCCAAAAAGTGCTCCCTATTTAGGCTCAGCTGTCTCACCCTGATTTGGTTAAGGGGCAACGCGGGCTTTGGGGTCGCGAAAAATGGCAATTTTTGATGAAAATCAAATTATCAGTTTCTGGAACCTTTTTTCTATTCGATTCGAAACTATCTACTCTAAAAACCGTGCAGAAATAGTGCAGAAAATTTGTTTCGCCCTCTTAGGTGGAAGAAATTATTTTAGAACTTGTAAAAAAAACAGCGATTTTCAAACAATAACAACCTCGCAAGTAAGTGCTCAGCCGAAAGCCGGTGTCTTGGTCTCATCGGAATGAGAATTTTTCCGTGTTCAAATTCTCCACCTCAGCTCGCCTCTCCATGCAGAAAAAAGAAATGCGCAAAAAGCAAATACTTAAGGGTCGTTACGAGGCCTATGACTGATCGCATCATGTTGCCCCAGCTAGCCTCGCCATTGGCCTGATGCTTGCTTTGAGAGATCGCTGTCTGCTGCTTGTGCGCTGCAAGGACATGGCTGTCAAAAAGTGCTACTTCGTGACATGTTCACGGCTCGACGGTCACTTAGGATATAATAACGCTTTAGTTAGGAGTTGTATGCAGATGCTCGATTAGATTACTATGCTTCGCCGCGCTCGTAGACCACGCCGCGCCATTAAAGTCGTGCTTAGGCCTAACTCCGCTGACGGCGAGACGAACCTCGAACCTTGCAGGCAAGAACAACACGCTAGCGCACTCGTGGATACATGCTTCTTTACAAGCGATGAAGCACATCACTTGCTGGCTTCTCGCAACTGCAAATGGGCATTTTACGCATCGGCAGCGAACCCCACGATCAAGCTCGTCATGTTCACTGATTATTTGTAATAAAAACGTTCTTAATTACACTAATGTCAGTTTGAACTAAAAAAGATGTGTAATTATTTTACTATATGGCTTTATTCAACTACAACCTTTTCCCTCATGCCTATCGCACCACTCCTTCACACAAAGAACTTGGTTTGAAATCCATACTTGTTCTTTGTAGATCAAAAAAAGGAGGTTATAAAAAAAGAAGGGCATCAAATGCACACAGAGGAGAAGCCACATGTTAGAGAAGTCAAATATCGAAAAACAAACCAAGGATCACAAATATTCGGTGTTTTTGATATATAAAGAGAAGGTGAAAGTTTTAAACACAGTTTTCTGTATAGTGTTTTTTTTTTTTTTTTGCATTATGCCCAGCTCATAGAGCAGATATCTTGGCAACCACTTCAGAGGTTTTGGTTTCGTTTGTAATGATCCTTGAACTGTGCTTCAAAAGGCTGCCATCTTATATTTTTCATGTTACTCCAAGAATTTCTCATGGGGCTGCTTGTTTGTTGTGCAAGTGAGCCCATTGCAGTTTCGCTGGAGAAAACGTAAACCACAAACTGTAGTGTTGCAAAAAAAAAAAAAAATTTTGAATATACTGCCCCCTTCAGCATACATTTGCCTGTGCATACATAATTGCCAACTATTTACGTCGTTTTATAAATCCTCCTGCCCCTCCACAAGGTTTAATGAAGAAATCATTTCTCTCGTCAAGTTTTTCTGGTATTGCCTTGAAATTTTTATGAAAGCACTCTGAGTCCATTCTTAGTGTCTGTGCCAATTGTCAAGATCCCACCAGAAACAAAGAAGTTGGTGCCCAAGGGCATGTCCCACCTTAATTTTGACAGTTTTTCTGGTCTCATGAAATCCGAATTACAAGCTTTTACTGTTTATAGCTTTTTACATTGTGAAAAATTTAGACATGGACGATAACTGAAATTTAACATGTTATCCAGTACTTTGCTGTTGCTGTGAATTCTCTTTTACAAAACTGTTTGTCAGCAGCAGTAGTCAAGGCATATTTTTTTCTTTTATTGTGCAGGCCCTTGCAGATGTCAATCCAGGTTCGGTGGGAAAGCGTTTTTCTGCTTGTTGCTTGGATGCATCTGTGGAGGAGCTTAAGTGCTGTCTCCAGGCAGAAGTGTCTGCTTGTAATCCGGTAGGTTTTCTGTACGCAGTTTGTACAGGTGTTTGAAAATGTTGCACACCCTTGAATTTGAAAAATCATTTTTCAAGGCCCTTGAAAACCCTGGAATTGTATTCTGTTATTTTTGAGATTTGTGCTGTGTAAAAGTGCACATGCGACCTACAGTTTTTAAGATTAGCATCGATGTGGCAAGTTTTTCAATTCAAAAACAACATATGAGCTTGCATGTATTCTGCTCGTTCATGCATTTTCCTATCGTTCCTTCACCTCTCACCTATATCACACCAATTGGTCTTCCATTCTTTCTCTCTCTCCTCTACTAATGTCCTTCCGACTTCATTTTTGTCTCCTGCATTTATTCTTTTCTCCCTGTCATGTGAGTGGTGCATGAGGTTATAATACACACTAACAACATCAAGCCTTGCTAATACTAGAGAAGTACCAGGACGTGTCCTGAGCATTTTTTGTCTGTTGGGAACTACTTTAGATGCCACCAAAGAGAGAGTTTTCTACTCTGTAATAGGACAGTTATAAGTCTGTTAAAGAAAACCATATTTTTTGTAGTTCCCAACCTAAGAAAAAGAATTTGTAGTCCCTGGGAGATACCCGTAAGGTTCAAGGTTAGCCTGAATGAAAGTAGCTTGAAACAAAGCTTACTTAACAATATTTTTTCTGAAATAAATGACTAAATAAAAAGATAAATTTTTTTGCAACTTCTACTCTGGATTGTTTTTTTCTTCAAGCATGAACATTATTGCTAATGCATTCATTACATCGGTCAGCTGTAGCCAGAAGCCTGGTTTTATTTTTACAAAGCTACATGCCAGCCTCTTCCACGGAACGGTCAGCTCAACATCTGCCCTGTGTCGTACCGAATGTAACTCTAGGTGACAGTGGTTTATTGTTTCTGTCGATGTTCCCACACGAACACTACTGTGTGTAACCCGTCTTGGTGGTCTAGTGGCTGCAGCACTTGGCTGCTGACCTGCAGATCGTGGGAATGAATCTCGGTTGCAGCGGCGGCATTTTAAATGGAGGCGGAAATGCTTGAGAGCCATGTTCTTAGATTTTATCATCATCATCAGCCTGACTACGTCCACTGCAAGACAAAGGCCTCTCCCATGTTCCGCCAGTTAACCCGGTCCTGTGCTTGCTGCTGCCAATTTATACCCGCAAACTTCTTAATCTCATCTGCCCACCTAACCTTCTGTCTCCCCCTAACTTGCTTCCCTTGTCTGGGAATCCAGTTAGTTACCCTTAATGACCAGCGGTTATCCTGTCTACGCGCTACGTGCCCGGCCCATGTCCATTTCCTCTTCTTTATTTCAACTATGATATTCTTAACCCCCGTTTGTCCTCTAATCCACTCTGCTCTCTTCTTGTCTCTTAAGGTTACACCTACCATTTTTCTTTCCATTGCTCGCTGCGTCGTCCTCAATTTAAGCTGAACCCTCTTTGTAAGTCTCCAGGTTTCTGCTCCGTAGCTAAGTACCAACAAGATACAGCTGTTATATACTTTCCTCTTGAGGGATAGTGGCAATCTACCTGTCATAGTTTGAGAGTGCTTGCCGAATGTGCTCCACCCCATTCTTATTCTTTTAGTTACTTCAATCTCGTGGTTCGGCTCTGCGGTTATTACCTGCCCTAAGTAGACATAGTCTTTTACAACTTCAAGTGCACTATTACCTATCTCGAAGCGCTGCTCTTTTCCGAGGTTGTTGTACATTACTTTCGTTTTCTGCAGATTAATTTTTTAATACCCACCTTTCTGCTCTCCTTGTCTAACTCCGTAATCATGAGTTGCAATTCGTTCCCTGAGTTACTCAGCAATGCAATGTCATCGGCGAAGCGCAGGCTACTAAGGTACTCTCCATTAACTCTTATCCCTAACTGTTCCCATTCTAGGCTTCTGAAAACCTCCTGTAAGCACGCGGTAAATGGCATTGGGGAGATTGTGTCCCCCTGCCTTACACCCTTCTTGATTAGCATTCGGTTGCTTTTTTATGAAGCATTGTGGTAGCAGTTGATCCCCTGTAAATTTCTTACAGGATGTTTATATATACTTCATCGTCGCCCTGATTCCGCAGTGTCTGCATGACGGCTGATATTTCTACTGAATCAAATGCCTTCTGGTAATTTATGAAGGCTATGTATAGTGGTTGATTATATTCTGAGCATTTCTCTACTACATGATTGATAGTATGAATGTGGTCGATTGTTGAGTAGCCTGTTCGAAATCCTGCTTGTTCCTTTGGTTGATTTAATTCTAATGTTTTCTTTACTCTTTTAGTAATTACCTTTGTAAATAGCTTGTATACTACGGAAAGCAAGCTGATCAACCTGTAATTCGTGTCAGTCCTTGTCATCTTCTTTTTTATGTATTAAGATGATGTTAGCGTTCTTCCAAGACTCTGGTACTCTTCCTGTCAGGAGACACGTCCTAAACAGGGTGGCTAGTTTTTCTAATACAATCTGTCCTCCATGTTTCAGCAGATCTGATGTTACTTGATCCTCACGCGCAGCTTTGCCTATTTGCAAGCTCTCCAAGGCTTTTCTGACTTCTATCATTACTGGTGGGGTGTTATCTGGGTTACTGCTAGATTTTATAGTATTAAGGTCGTGGTTGTCCCGGCTACTGTACAGATCTCTGTAAAACCCCTCCGCTATTTTAACTATGCTATCCATATTGGTAGTTATTTTGCCTTCTTTGTCCCTTGTGCATACATCCGATTTTTCTCTATCCCAAGTTTCCTCTTCACTGTTTTGACACTTCCTTTGTTTTTCAGAGCGTGTTTCATTCTCTCCACGTTATACCTTCTTACATCGGATACCTTACGCTTATTAATCAACTTCAAAAGCTCTGACAGTTCTATTTTATCTGTTTTACTTGAGACTTTCATGCTTTGATGCTTCTTAATGAGATTATTCGTTTCCTAGAAAAGCTTGCCAGTGTCCTGCCTAACTACCCTGCCTCCAACTTCCACTGCACACTTCGTAATGATACTCGTCAGATTATCATTCATTGTATCTACGCTAAGGTTGGTTTCCTCACTAAGAGCCGAGTACGTGTTCTGCAGCGACACTCTGAATTCCTGTACTTTCCCTTTCAGTGCTAGCTCATTGATTGGCTTCTTGCGTATCAGTTTCTGTCGTTCCTTCTTCAAGTCTAGGCGAATTCGAAACCGTACCATTCTATGGTCACTGCATCGTACCTTGCCAACCACTTCCACATCCTGCACGACTCCTGGGTGTGCACTGATTATAAAGTCTATTTCGTTCTTATTTTCGCCATTGGGGCTCCTCCATGTCCACTTGCGGTTTTCTCGTTTTCGGTAGAAGGTATTCAAAATCCGTAAATTATTGCGTTCTGCGAATTCTACCAGTAGCTCTCCTTTGGCGTTTCTAGTGCCGATGCCATAATCTCCTACTGCCTGGTCTCCAGCCTGCTTCTTTCCTACCTTTGCATTAAAGTCGCCCATCACTATAGTATACTGTGTTTTTACCTTACTCATTGCCGATTCCACGTCTTCATAGAAGCTTTCAACTGAAGCGTCATCATGGCTTGATGTAGGCACGTAAGCCTGTACTACCTTCATCTTTTATCTTTTATTCAGTTTAATTACGATACCTACCACCCTTTCATTTATGCTATAGTATTCCTCTATGTTGCCAGCTATGTTTCTGTGAATTAGGAGCCCCACTCCCAGTTCCCTTCTGTCTGCCAAGCCCCGATAGCAAAGGACGTGCCCATTCTGTAGCACCGTATAGGCCTCATCTGTCCTCCTAACCTCACTGAGACCTATTATATCCCATTTAACACCTTCTAGCTCCTCGAATAGTACAGCTAGACTTCCCTCACTAGATAAGGTTCTAGCATTAAACGTTGCCAAGTTCAGGTTCCAGTGGCACGTTAGATTTAGGTGCACGTTAAAGAAAGAACCCCAGGTGGTTGAAATTTCTGGAGCCTACTACTAAGGTGTCTCTCATTATCATATGGTGGTTTTGGAACATTAAACCCCACCAACTATTAACACTACTGCATACCTGCCATAATCCGGGAGACTCCCGAATCGTCTCTTTCTTACATTTGTACGGTTGTCATGAAAATCTCCCGGAAATCGAGATTTCTGGGCTTGATCTGGCCACATTTACCAAATCGCAGGCCAATGTGATCCAGACTTTTTTTTTGTGAACCCATTGCTTTTGCGAACCCACCGTGAGAATTTGCAGAATTCCCCAGCCAAATTCCACTGTGTCCATTGTGCCGAAATTCGTATGCTCTGAACACTTTCCCTCATCGCGACGGGTGCTATATATATAGTACTGAAACCGTCGAACGAAGCCCGGCAGCAGTGTGCTCAAAGCCTTGGAAGTTCTATGCACGCGGCCAGCTTGCGTGTGGTTGTTGTTTGCCACAACCGCTGTGAACGGAACCGCGGTTGCTCTTAACACGATCATGTATGGCAACAATGTAGATGACAGAACTCTGAAAGTGTGTTCATGTCCAACGCTCAATCAGTATCCGTTTTCCGGTGACGCTGTGAACAAAATTGAGGTAGATGCGATAATAGATGGCTTAAAAAAGAAAAAAAAAAACTATTTGGTTTAGAAGGCGCGTGCGCAGCCAACGCATGTGATTGAAAACAGAACAACCGCTTGCCGCAGCCGCCGCGTACAAAAGCGCTGTCGCGGCGACGCGATAGCAATCTACGAGCTCCGAGGGCACGCGTCTAACGCAGCACTAGATTTAAGGCAATAAAGACTTTAAAAAAAGGCTAGAAGCGTTTTGGCGTTCCTGTCCCATGAATCTAGTATCGTAGCGAGGCTTTGACCTATGCTTTCGCGACAGCCAGCTTCTCTATTCACGTGTGCCCCAGAAAGACATCGGCCAGTTCTTTTGACAAAAATTATTTTGCTAGTTGTTTTGATGACGTGGAATTGGGGCAGTATTTGTGCTCCCCCTTTGAGACTCGCACCTTAGTTGGGAAACCTTACCCTCATGTGTTTAGCCA